GTTCGCGATGCGATGGCTGAAAGCCAAGACCTGCAGAAACAATATGCAGATGAAAAGGAAAAGGCAAAGTGGAAATCTTTAAAGTCGGGGACCCGGTTTAATTGATATCAAAACCCTGCCTACACATGCAGCCTCTGCTATATTCCGGACGAAGCTTCGTCAACGGTTTATCAGACCGTTTAAGGTTGTGGCCAAACTGAGCTTGGCGAACATGCTGAACCTTCCGAAACGGATGCGCACCCACACGGTGTTTAACGTGGACTTGCTCAAGCCGTACCGGGATCCGGCGCAAGTGAACGCGGAAGCGTTGGCACCAGAGCGGATCCCACGGGCCCGCGGCCACCAGAAGTTGAACCAGCAACTGGTTTTGAGCACGGAGTGCAACAACCTCCATTTTCAATAGTGCCAAGCGCTCCACCGTTGCCTGCAGCGATGCATTTGCCTCCTCCACGGCTAGGAGTCGCTACGACAAAGAGCGGTAGTCCTCAAGGTGAGGCAACCGGCGCACGACGTGCTTTAAATCATCAAGTGCATCCGCACAGCGAAATGCTACTTCAGCATGACGCTCAACGGAGCTCCGATTACGATGGACCTTGTCCTCAAGGGCTCCAAGAGCATCACGAGTCACCGGATGGCGGTCGACCCGGTCGTCACCGCCGGCCACCGACTTTTCTCGATGAGAATGGTGACGTCCACTATCACGTGGAACGTCTTGTTAGACGACGTCGTCACCAGGGTTAAACCTAATAGCTGGCGAAGTGGCGGGGATATCCCGACTCCGAATACTCGTGGGAGATTGAGGCGCCACTTCGGCAAGATTGCCCAGTCGCCGTGGACGCTTTTGATCGGAAAGATCAGGACGTCCCGCGTCATCAGACGACCCGTGCTTCCCGGCAATAGCCAGGGAAGTAGACAGGCCATGAGCTGAGCTCAAGCAGTGGCCCTGAGCTTTTGCGGTCGAAGATATAGAGCTCGCGGGAGCATTAGGGATTGTTAACCCATACGTCGCAGGGCGACAATCCGAAGGAAGTCGATGGCGTGCCTTGAGTTTGGCAACTCAAAGGGGAGGTGTCGCTCCACACGCACGTTCACTTCCTTGTGGCTCAACAGCAGGTTATGCAGTGAGAAAAGTTTTTGGTTTTGTTGCACCCATCGCTCAAAGAGCGCTTCGTCATCTGTAGCACTTTCACCGGGGGCGAGCACTACAGATATTGTCCGCATTTCGGGTACAGGAGAGCCACCTCGTTGAGCACGCAGACGAGTGCGATAATCGTTTAACGAAATTTCTTGTGGGACAAAGAAACGAGCTTTAAGAGCTTTCCGTTCGGCAAGTTCATCTTCCGTTCCGGCTGGGGGCCCGATGATGTGGG